CCCCTGCATCGGCAGGCGGACTCTCAACCACTGCGCCACCTGGGAAGCCCGTTATTTACTTACTTTAAAAATTTTATTGAAGTATAGTTGATTTATAATGTTGTTGCTCATTCTTGAATGATAATTTAGCTGAATATAGATGACTAGATTGACAGCTTTTTTTTCTTGAACGTTTTAAAGAAAGTATCCCATTGTGACCTGGTGAGCAGAGTGCTATTGGTCTGATTAGCTTTTTTTTTGTGGAAAATCTGTCTTTTTTTCCGTGGTAGTCTATAAGATTTTTATTTATTATGTTTAGAATTTAGTATGATTTTTCTTTTTTTTTTTCACATCTTTATTGGAGTATAATTGCTTTACAATGGTGTGTTAGTTTCTGCTTTATAACAAGTGAATCAGCTATACATATACACATATCCCCATATCTCTTCCCTCTTGTGTCTCCCTCCCACCCTCCCTATCCCACCTCTCTAGGTGGTCACAAAGCACCGAGCTGATCTCCCTGTGCTATGTGGCTCCTTCCCACTAGCTATCTATTTTACATTTGGTAGTGTATATATATCCATGCCACTCTCTCACTTCGTCCCAGCTTACCCTTCCCCCTCCCCGTGTCCTCAAGTCCATTCTCTAGTAGGTCTGCATCTTTATTCCCGTCCTGCCCCTAGGTTCTTCATGACCTTTTTTTTTTTTTTTTAGATTCCATATATATGTGTTAGCATACAGTATTTGTTTTTCTCTTTCTGACTTACTTTACTCTGTATGACAGACTCTAGGTCGATCCACCTCACTACAAATAACTCAATTTCGTTTCTTTTTATGGCTGAGTAATATTCCATTGTATATATGTGCCACATCTTCTTTATCCATTCATCTGTCACTGGACACTTAGGTTTCTTCCATGTCCTGGCTATTGTAAACAGAGCTTCAGTGAACATTGTGATACATGACTCTTTTTGAATTATGGTTTTCTCAGGGTATATATATGCCCAGTGGTGAGACTGCTGGGTCATATAGTAGTTCTACTTTTAGTTTTTTAAGAAACCTCCATACTGTTCTCCATAGTGGCTGTATCAATTTACATTCCCACCAACAGTGCAAGAGGGTTCCCACCTCTCCACACCCTCTCCAGCATTTACTGTTTGTAGATTTTTTGATGATGTGGCCATCATCTGACTAGTTTGAGATGATATCTCATTGTAGTTTTGATTTGCATTTCTCTAATGATTAATGATGTTGAGTATTCTTTCATGTGTTTGTTGGCAATCTGTATATCTTCTTTGGAGAAATGTCTATTTAGGTCTTCTGCCCATTTTTGGATTGGGTTGTTTGTTTTTTTGATATTGAGCTGCATGAGCGTCTTGTAAATTTTGGAGATTGATCCTTTGTCAGTTGCTTCATTTGCAAATATTTTCTCCCATTCTGAGGGTTGTCTTTTCGTCTCGTTTATGGTTTCCTTTGCTGTGCAAAAGCTTTTAAGTTTCATTAGGTCCCATTTGTCTGTTTTTGTCTTTATTTCCATTTCTTTAGGAGGTGGGTCAAAAAGGATCTTGCTGAGATTTATGTCATAGAGTGCTCTGCCTATGTTTTCCTCTAAGAGTTTGATAGTGTCTGGCCTACATTTAGGTCTTCAATCCATTTTGAGTTTTATTTTTGTGTATGGTGTTAGGGAGTGTTCTAATTTTATTCTTTTACATGTAGCTGTCCAGTTTTCCCAGCACCACTTATTGAAGAGGCTTTCTTTTCTCCATTGTATATTCCTGCCTCCTTTATCAAAAATAAGGTGACCATATGTGCGTGGGTTTATCTCTGGGCTTTGTATCCTGTTCCATTGATCTGTATTTCTGTTTTTGTGCCAGTACCATACTCTCTTGATTACTGTAGCTTTGTAGTATAGTCTGAAGTCAGGGAGCCTGATTTGTCCAGCTCCGTTTTTCTTTCTCAATATTGCTTTGGCTGTTCGGGGTCTTTTGTGTTTCCATACAAATTGTGAAATTTTTTGTTCTAGTTCTGTGAAAAATGCCATTGATAGTTTGATAGGGATTGCATTGAATCTGTAGATTGCTTTGGGTAGTATAGTCATTTTCACAATGTTGATTCTTCCAGTCCAAGTACATGGTATGTCTCTCCACCTATTTAATTTCTTTCATCAGTGTCATAATTTTCTGCATACAGGTCTTTTGTCTCCTTAGGTAGGTTTATTCCTAGGTATTTCATTCTTTTTGTTGCAGTGGTAAATGGGAGTGTTTTCTTTTTGTTTTTTTTGTTTTTTTTTTTTGCTGTACGTGGGCCTCTCACTGTTGTGGCCTGTCCCGTTGTGGAGCACAGGCTCCAGACGCACAGGCTCAGTGGCCATGGCTCACGGGCCCAGCCACTCTGCGGCATGTGGGATCTTCCCGGACCGGGACACAAACCCGTGTCCCCTGCGTGGGCAGGCGGACGGACTCTCAACCACTGCGCCACCAGGGAAGCCTGGGAGTGTTTTCTTAATTTCACTTTCAGATTTTTCATCATTAGTGTATAGGAATGCGAGAGATTTCTGTGCATTAATTTTGTATCCTGCTACTTTACCAAATTCATTGATTAGCTCTAGTAGTTTTCTGGTAGCATCTTCAGGATTCTCTATGTATAGTATCATGTCATCTGCAAATAGTGACAGCTTTATTTCTTTTTTTCCGATTTGGATTCCTTTTCTTCTCTGATTGCTGTGGCTAAAACTTCCAAAACTATGTTGAATAAGAGTGGTGAGAGTGAGCAACCTTGTCTTGTTCCTGATCTTAGTAGAAATGGTTTCAGTTTTTCACCATTGGGGACGATGTTGGCTGTGGGTTTGTCATATATGGCCTTTATTATGTTGAGGAAAGTTCCCTCTATGCCTACTTTCTGGAGGGTTTTTATCAAAAATCGGTGTTGAATTTTGTTGAAAGCTTTTTCTTCATCTATTGAGAATATCGTATGGTTTTTATCCTTCAGTTTGTCAATATGTTGTATCACATTGATTGATTTGCATATATTGAAGAATCCTTGCATTCCTGGGATAAACCGCACTTGATCTTGGTGTATGATCCTTATAATGCTCTGTTAGATTCTGTTTGCTAGTATTTTGTTGAAGATATTTGCATCTATGTTCACCAGTGATATTGTCCTGTAGTTTTCTTTCTTTGTGACATCTTTGTCTGGTTCTGGTATCAGGGTGATGGTGGCCTCATAGAATGAGTTTGGGAGTGTTCCTCCCTCTGCTATATTTTGGAAGAGTTTGAGAAGGATAGGTGTTAGCTCTTCTCTAAATGTTTGATAGAATTCGCCTGTGAAGCCATGATTTTTCAAGCTAAGGACTCATGTCCTTAATTCTGGAAAATTCTCTGATATTACCTCTTTAATAATATTACTTCTCTCCTAATTCCTCGATTTTTTTCCTCAGATTCCTGTAAGATATATTTTAGAATGTTATTCTTCAGCCTCCTTCGTTTTCTGTTTTGTGCTGTTTTTTTTGTTTTTATAATTTTATTTATTTATATTTGGCTGCATTGGGTCTTCATTGCTGAGCATGGGCTTCCTCTAGTTGCAGCAAGCAGGGGCTACTCTTCGTTGCGGTGTGCGAGCTGCTCATTGCGGTGGCTTCTCTTGTTGTGGAGCACAGGCTCTAGGCACATGGGCTTAAATAGTTGTGGCATGTGGGCTCAGTAATTGTGGCTTACGGGCTCTAGAGCACATGCTCAGTAGTTCTGGCACGTGGGCTTAGTTGCTCCATGGCATGTGGGATCTTCCCAGGCCAGGGCTCCAACCTGTGTCCCCTGCATTGGCAGGCAGATTCTTAACCACTGTGCCACCAGGGAAGTCCCTATTCATTTGTTTCTTAAGGGATAGTTAAATTGTTTTTGTTTGTTTGTTTGTTTACTATTACAGGCAGTGCTCTAGTTAAATTGTCCTTTGGATACATGTCTCTCACATCTTGGAGTAGAATTTCTAGATCAAAGGGGATGCACATCTTTACTTATTCTAGAAAATGCTAAATTGGCACTGTAGAGTGGCTCTTGTGGTTTATTCTCACCAACAGTGTTTGAGTTTTTGTTTCTCCATCTTTTTCAGCACTTAAACTTTTGCCAGTTTGACCATTTTGCTAACATGTTTACTTTTTCTCTTTGGTATTTTTAGGGTGCTTGCATACTTTGTTACAGATAGCAAATGTCCATATACACATGTTCTCGTTTCTAGGTTCTCTCTTCCATTCCAGTAGCCAGTTCTTCCATCCTTGGCCCGTGTTACACTGCTTTTAGTTACTACAGCTTTAGAGGAAGTCCTCATATCTTGGAGGGCAAGTGGCTTTCCTTGCCCTCTTCCTCCTCCTTTTTCTTCTTCAGATATTTGATTTTCCCATAAAGGTCTTACACAGTTTTTAACAGATTTATACGTAGGTATCTTATCTTTTTTGTTGCTGTTGTGAAAAATATTCTTTTTCAAATATATTTTTTATTGTTTGTTGATCTTATACTAGAACTTCATTTTTGTGTATTGCATTTGCATCTTGCAACCCTGCTGAATTTTATTAGTGCTAATGATGATTAGATTGTGAATATGACAGTTTTTTTCTTGTCCAAAGCACACAATAGTTATAATTTCTTAAGTTATTAAAAATAAAGTGCACAAATTAAACTGACAGATAATATAAAAGTTAAAATCTTTATTTCAACCTTATTTTCAAATATGTATTTCATGCCATTGTATGTGTCTTCTAGATGCTGAGCATACACATTCTCCCGTGGCACCTACGTTCTGCACTCCTGGTTTGAAAATCCCTTCTACAAAGAACAGCACAGCTTTGGTAAAAACTTCTATAAAATTGAAAGTGCTAATCTTTTCCCCAGTGAATCCGATACACTATTTCCAGACTCAAACAGTCTGTTTAAAAAACGTAGACTGTTGTAGCCTTTGGGAGTATATTTACAGAGTTTCCGGAGGGTTATTTGGCAGCAGATATCAAGAGCTTTAAAATTTTTCCATACCCTTTAACCAGCATTTATTCTAAGGCCCATTGGGACAAAGATTTTGGGTTTTTGTTTGTTTGTTTGTTTTTTGGTTTTTGCAGTACATGGGCCTCTCACTGGTGTGGCCTCTCCTGTTGCGGAGCACAGGCTCGGGACGCGCAGGCTCAGCAGCCATGGCTCATGGGCCCAGCCGCTCCGCGGCATGTGGGATCTTCCCGGACTGGGTCATGAACCCGTGTCCCCTGCATCGGCAGGTGGACTCTCAACCACCGCGCCACCAGGGAAGCCCAAGAATAGCATTATTTATAAGAGCAGAATATGGGAACAAACTAAATGTCAAATGATAAATGGGAAGCAAAATATATTACGGTAAATCCATAAGAGCCAGCGTCATGTGACTAGGATGTTTTGAAAAACAGATAAGAACATACAGAAAGAATGTCTTCAAGAAATATTTAATGATATGGAAAATGATATATATGTGTATGTATATAAATACACACATACACATATATATATTTTTTTGTTTTTGTTTTTGTTTTTGTCTTTGCGGTACGCGGGCCTCTCACTGGTGTGGCCTCTCCTGTTGCGGAGCACAGGCTCGGGACGCGCAGGCTCAGCAGCCATGGCTCATGGGCCCAGCCGCTCCGCGGCATGTGGGATCTTCCCGGACTGGGTCATGAACCCGTGTCCCCTGCATCGGCAGGTGGACTCTCAACCACTGTGCCACCAGGGAAGCCCTATATACACATATATTTTATTTTAAGGAATAAGAATGGAGAGAAACACACCAAAAAGTGGTTATCTATGGGTGATTTTTATGCCTTTTTTCCCCAAATTTTTCCCATTGAACAAATTTACTATGTAATCAGAACCTCATCCCTGTTTAAAGTTGGTATGAACACTTAAGACAACCAATATGGTAGATTGGGCCATCCAGTGGATCTTTCAGCAGTGATGGAAATGTTCTGTAATCTGTGCTATCCAGTGTGGTGGCTAGCTGCTGAGCATGTAAAATGTGGCTGGTGCATCCGAGAACCTAATTTTCAGTTTTTTAAATTTTATTAATGTATAATTAAATTTAAATAGCACCATGCGACTTGTGGTAATCCACTGCTTATGTTCCTGGCCTCATTGCTGACTCTGCCGTAGGGAGACGGGCCAGGTTGGCATGAATGGGCTTTCTCCCTGGCAGCAGTGAGGGCGTAGCTCATCCTCCTACGACTCTTACCTGGCCCAAGATAGTGTTGCCTGAGTCTGGGTGGTGAATCCGTCTAAATCTGGGGTTCAGCCAACAGGCCTATTTAGATTTCACATGAAGCTCTTGCTCAGCCTTCAGTAATGATGATGGTACCTTTTCCTCCATATGCCATTTCTTTGTGTCCTTGATTTTATTTCTCAGGGAAGAGGGGGTAATTTGGGGGCCTACTTAGAGATCACAACAGAACTAACAATTGACTAACAATATTTATTTACTATATTACTTTATACCACCATAATTTAATTATTTCTTTTTATCCTATAGGTATCCACACATTATCCATTATCAAAAACAAATAGTTCATCAGATGACTTGGAAATGAAAGACAGTACGTCATTAGTTTTAAATTCAGACGAGTCGTGCTTTGAGAATTTTGCGGACCCCTCTTCTCCTACGATTTCTTCTTATGAGAATCTGCTAAGAACACCTACACCTCCAGAAGTAACTACAATTCCAGAAGATATTCGCCAGGTTATTTTTCTAGGCTGTTGTTTGTTTTCTGCAAAAATACCTGAAAACGATATTTAACTGTTATTTATCATCGGGCTAATGTGCTCGTTTGGATCTAAATCTAAATTCTGGGCTGTTAAGCCTGTCTAAGACCACCTGGCTAAGCCTCTTCAGAGCTGAGCACAAGCTAGTGATGTCATCATGCCTTTGTTCCCTCTTGAGGCATTTTCTCTTTAACTTCATGTTCTGAAATGTATTCTCATAATATTTTCTAATCATTGTTCAAATGTGATCACCATGGTGACCATTGTTTCCACTGGTGTTTCTAGCAAAGTCAGAAATGTCATTTACCCTCCAGTTCTCCAGAGTTGGAGTATCATGCATAACTTGTATCACTGTTTCTTGAACTTGAGATGTCTTGGGCCTCAGTTTGAGAAACATTTGTTTAAATATATTAGAATATCTGATTCTTTTTTTTTTTTTTTTTTTTTTTTTGGCCACCGCGAGGTTGGTGGGACCTTAGTTCCCTGGCAAGGGATTGAACCAAGGCCCCCAGCATTGAAAGCACCGAGTCCTAGCCACTGGAACGCCAGGGAATTCCCACAGAATGTTTGATTCTTTAGTACAACATAATTTACCAGTAGTCTGTTACTGGTTTATAGCAACTACCGACTCTACTAAATAACCACCAGCCTGATTCTTTGAGCATCCCCTCTTGATAAAACTTACGGTGTTGGGGAGTTATTGCTTAAGCAAATGGAATTCTTAATAACCATTCTAGAGACCTTCCTAGCTTATGGAGAAGGTTAAAGCTACTTGGCGAAATAACCCAAATGCCATTGGAAGGGACTCATCCTAAGACAGCAGTAAAGTATTTGTTATCCTTCCTTCTCTATCTTTTGTGCTTTCCTGGCACTGTAATAAACTGCGGAAGGAGCAGCTTCTGTCCACAGGCATTATTATCCAGTTTCCAGTTTGCCATGGTGATCCTTCTCTCTTCACTTCTGTGTTAAAGGGGGGAAACCTTGCACTTAATGTATTACTTGTGAAAAAATCATAGTTGATATTTCAGATTCTTGTTTTTATAATCTTTATAGCTAATGATCTTTCTTTTGAGCATTTATTTCACCTCTTTCCTATATAGATTTCCCTAACGTCTTTGTAAAGGATTGATTTGCTCGCAGGGATGCACTGCTGCTTGCTTCCGTTAGCCCAGCAGTACATTTAGAAGCTTTAGAAATCCCCGCTACACCCAAGTTAAACTTCTGATATCTCCATCTCTGTGCTGCTGAACATTCTGACTGTTTTAAATAACCCAGATCTTCATGTTTTCCTTGTTTTTTCTTGAATGTTTTATAACAGCTTCCAGATTTATATTATGTTGTTCATATGACTTGGTGAAAGGAGTTTGCTTTCTTTTAGATTTTATCAAAATACAACTCAAACCTAGCTACTCCGGTAGCAGTTAGAGAAGTGTCACCCAGCAAAGTGTTCCTTCCTCGGTGTGAAGGACAGGACATCCGAGACGCTGGCAACAGAGAAAACTGGTGAAAGTGAGTATGTTCCCATCCTAAAGGGACTAGATTTGTTACCTGAGGAGAACACTGGAATGGTAATAAACACTTGTAATTGACATCTGCCAGCTAGGTAACAGCCCGTCTCTCTCTCTCTCTTTTTTTTTTTTTTTTTGCGGTATGTGGGCCTCTCACTGTTGTGGCCTCTCCCGTTGTGGAGCACAGGCTCCGGACGTGCAGGCTCCGGATGCACAGGCTCAGCGGCCATGGCTCACGGGCCCAGCCGCTCCGCGGCATGTGGGATCTTCCCGGACCGGGGCACGAACCCATGTCCCCTGCATGGGGCAGGCGGACTCTCAACCACTGCGCCACCAGGGTAGCCCCCCCCATCTCCCTTCTGGTCCAGAATCCGTGATCCCTGCATCTCAGGCTCCCACACTACCATGTTTTACAATGTCACTGGGAATCTACTCCCAACCATATTATAAGTGTAAAAATAGATGGCTTCGGTGTCGTGTCATTTGTTTCGTTGAAGGCTATTGGTTATACCTAATTGATATTTTCTGTTTGTATCTTTCTACAGAAATTGTAGTGGATCCATCCTTCCATTATAGAAACTGAAAGATGAAAGCAAACCTGCTCTGACTTTGTTTTTCACATTCCCCGACATCTTTCCCCTTTTGAAAATCCAACTCATATTAAAGATGAGCACGGACACTGATGTCATAAAATGCTTTTTATTAAGTTCGATTTAGTCTAACCTCAGTCTTGTTGACGTGTAGTTCAGTTACTCAGTTTGGAAAGATCATTACTATTTCACTGATTTCAAATTTACCCTGCCTAATGGAAGAGTATGGTTTAAGTAATATTAGGAAGCAGGATAAATAATTTTTGAAATTTAAACATTACTGTTTGCTACTCAGATAAGGCCACTTTCAGTCTTCTTGGGCTAGACAGTTGTTGCTAGACCTGGGCTTCTTCCTTGGGTCTAGCTCTGCCCTTCTGTCTCCTCTCATGACTATCCCAAGTCTTTTACACCTTCTATTTCAGCAGTGCTTTTTTAAGGCACTGTTGTTTACAAATGACAGCTTAAAATAATTTAGGAAGGAAGAATTTACAGGCCTAGGTAACTATACTGAAGTAGGTGTCTCGGACATTTGGAAATTAGACACTTGCCTGCAGTCGGGACGGATGTTTTATTTTTACTTGTCAGTTTCATCCTTTCAAATCACCTCTTACCAGCACGGCTGCAACCTCTCCAGGTCCCCCTCCAGCTCGGCAGCCCAGCAGAGCCTGAGCCTCACACTCTGTGGAGGGTCCCAGGACGACTCCTGGCCAGTTGCTCATCTCTGGATTGTCTGCTGTGCCTCTAGAGCTGTCTGAGAGCTCCAGGCTGCCCTCTCCATGGAGCCCAAGATCCTTCCGGTCTAAGTAAAGTTGATGCAGCAAAGATTATCCTCTTTTATGGGTTGGGCCTTGAAAGTCAAATGTGAAGACCTGTCACATTGTGAATCTTCGTTTTGTCAGAAAATTGCCACTAAAAACAATTTATTCTTTGTTCTAGGAACTGCTGTGTAATAATTTTTGCTAAATATTGATACAATGTAAGACTCAAGGTACTTAGTTTTATTTTTCCAGGTAAGCTCTGGTCAGCCTTGTATATACGATGGTGACTCCCAAATTATATCAGCGTTTTATACACTATTTACCATGGCTCTGTGTACCTAAGTCCACAGAGTGGACAGATTGCGTGAGGGAGGGAGTATATTCAAAGTGCATATGCAGGGCTGAGTCCTGGAGTTCCATTTTAGAAGATGGAAAGAGGCAGAAAAATCTAGCAAAGGAGATGAAGAAGCTGGTGAAGTAGGAAGGAAATACTTCAAGCCAAGTGATCGATTCTATCAATATTGCTGAGAATCCAAGACAAGACAGAATTACCACTGGACTTGGCAAAATGGCTTTGCTGACAGCACTGATTAATTCTGACAGAGTGCTCAGGACGGACGTCTGGGGTGGACTGGAAAGGTCGGAGGTGAGGAAGCAGAGATCACGGACTGAGACGGCTCTTTTCATGAGTTTTGCTCAAGAAGGGAGAGAAGAAATGGTGCTGCAGCCAGAGCGCGTGTGAGTGAAGCCAGGGTTTCAAAGGCGGGACATAGAGAGCGTTCCAGGAATCATTTCCGGCGGCCTGCTGGGAGTCTCCGCCTGCCTCGCGGTGGCCCCTCAGTTCAGCCTGGCCAGGG